AACGACCGCATTCGGAGCAAATCTACGCCACTTGACGCGACACATTCGAATAAACGAAGCGGAATAAAAGAGAAAATATATATATATTCCACGGAGCGTCTATCATTGGATAGATATTCTGCGGGGTCTACGATAAGAGTCGCAGAGTCGCAGCCGTAAGAATAATCGACTGTAATTGGTCCATTCAGTCAGACACATAAGAATTAACCAATCATAGTCGACTATTCTTACGACTACGACTTTACGAGTTCTATGTAGACGAGGCTTTAGATGTTTACTACTCTCTAAAAGTCAGTCAGTGGATTATCACTGAAAACAGTGAATAGTCACTGATTGACTTCTAGAGAGTAAAGTTTGTGTAGAAATTCGTTTCTTAATTATTATCATATATATTTAGGCCGTTCTACATTAGTCTTACGAACTTGATCGCAGAAAATTAACTCTCCTATTGGATTCGTTACTTTTTAGTAACTAACTGTAACGCATTACTTTTCAGAATTGGGAACTTGTAACTGTGTAACTGGATACTTTATAAAGTAACTTCCAACCCTGAGCTATATACATTTATCTTTTAAGATTTTAATGTATCTCGATGGAGAGGATTCAATTCTTCTCCTTTTTGTTGTTTCTCTCTAAAATTATTATTATTATCCGCATGCGACTTGCATCAACTATAGGTTTCTTCGTTATCGGCTCTTGCGACAAATTTCCTTCTTGACTATAAGTAGGTATTCTCTTATCATCCACCGCTATCCGAATTTCATTATCAGATACGGATAAGTGGTCCAAGCTTTGTTAATATGCGAAATTTGTATTTTATTGCATAAAAACGCCACTTAATCGTTTGACTGCGGACGAGCGCGATCGCGTTCTTTATTTTATTAAAAATTTGGTACCGTTCAATCAAGTGACGTCCGCAGCCAAACGATTGATAACTTTTTAAACAACATTTCTTTATTATCACGGCATACAAGTAGTGGTTTTAAGTATCTTAATCGTCTTAACGATAAAGTCGCTACGATTTCTCTGTCCTCTGTGGTTATTTATAAATACCGTGATAAGAAACTGGAATTTCCATTTTTGGATATCACTGATATCTAATTTATTTTCCTTTTGATTAAACTTTGTTGCCTCTTTATACGTTTATAGTTATGAAGAACGGTGTTCCGAATTGAGTCTTAATAATAGCATATAAAATACAACTATAGTTTATTGGCCTAGAAAATTATGAGAATAATAGATAAAATAACACGATAATGTATTAATATTTGCTCCCTCTTTATATAAAATGAATTTGAATTCCTTTTTATTAAGAAATAAAATTCCCAAATCAAATGTTTTAGACGAAAAGGAAAGAATTATTTTGTAAAATAAATTCTTAATATTGTTAAATACCTCTGAGAATTATTTATACAATGTGGAACTCGAGAAACAAACCATTTGCATGGCAGAAATGTTCAAAATTTGCAGCATAATTTATATAGGTTTAATTAATCAAAACTTTTCAACGTAACTGTTTCTTCGCATTATTAAATTATACAATCATTATTATTGCAGTTAGATTGCATTATAAAAAAATACCCAAAAGATTATATCAATAAGATAATTGACGACTTAAAAAGTCATTGTTTGATGAACTTGGTGGTCTAATATTCTTTAAGTTCCACAAACACGGTAACTGGTTAGCGAACAGATTAACAGAGGCGCAATGCGTTATTTATCGCTTTATTGCAATAACGAGTAGAAATCGTGATACCGCTCGTAGCCGTGATAATCAGTCACCGATCACGGTGGCATTATCTCAGAAACGTGCTTCACCGCGTTATCACGTGCTCCGCTCGCACGACTCACGCCCGAGGGACACGCATGGATTGAGAGAGTCTCACCTGCCGCACGTGTCGATAGCTACGACCAATCGCGATACGCAAATCTCGATTCACACCTCTGGAGGTTTCAGATCAAACGTGAATTTGCGATTGGACGACTGCAATTGAAAATTTTACATCTCCGCGTTGTTCCTTAGGTAAATACTATATAATGTCCAATCTCGTGAGAGATCTCTGCTCACCCGACGCTTTGTCATTTCGTAAACTCGCCGATTGTTACACAATTTGTTGAAAACGTGCGTCAATCGGCATACACTTTGCTGACAATGACGACGCTCGTCTCGCGAAAGCGTCCCAATCGAAGCTCTGATATTATATAAAACTGTTCAAACTCTTCAAAAAGAATTAATCTTTTTACTTGTTAATTTTTTTGAGGGTAAATGTTAACTTCTTAATCTTATATACTTCTCATTTTACTACGGCTTCTCATTTTCCTTTATGAAAATTTTATGTAACGTCAACATTTCAACGCTTTATTATATGTATACTATGTTCTGCGAGAGAAATGTACGTCAAATATTTAAAAATTTAAATACGTGGTTAGGAAAAAAGATCTTCCTCGATAATAGCATGACGCCTTCAGTTCAACTAAACGGAGAGAATTTTCTTTTAAAATTTATCCTGAAAATCATGTGATCGTAAGACATGGCATTTCGAACCATTTTATGAGTTTTTTTAATTATACCATTCATTTTACAAGCAGAATGTATGGTAAAATTTTTTTAATGCCGTATTGTCCCACGATTACATAATTTTCAGGATAAATTTTAAAGGAAAATTCTCTCCGCGTATCTTAAATCAAGAGATACGTCTGCAGGCTATCCAATTACAATTAACTTGTGAGAACAAATCATACTGAGAATCGTTTCTTCGCCAGTGATTAGTTAAAATAAAAAATAATGGGAAAAATTCTTCGACGTATCTGGCAATACTTTACTAAAGGGATTACACAACGTTTCGACCGAGAATTCCGGTCCTTTTTATATAAAAAGCGCTTTGATTACATTCTGAAGTCAGACAAGTGCCAACCAGTCGTAATCTGAAGACTATGAAATTATCGTGTGTCAAAAAACAGAGTTACAGAGAATGAAGAATATATAAATGTGCGCACCAACGTTTTTCTTTCTTTGGTCATTGGTTGTAACGCAATGTGACATTAGTTAAGCATAATTTAAATCGAGCAATTATCGCATAATGAATTTAGTAGGAACTTTTTTTGTAAAGTTAGAGCGAGACAGACGCACAAGGACATTTCTTTCACTTCGTACATATAATGCGGAAGAAATGACAGTGATAAACTGTTAAAAAGGGAGTAGGTTTCTTATTAGTGATTGTGGAACCATACAAATACCGGATGTAGCGATAGATAAGATTTAATTAAGATTTTTCTAAATCGATTTTACAAGTTGATAAATATGTTTTGAGCCTTGACTTCATTATTGATATCAAGTTGGTATAAAAATGTGCAACAAGTATACTTGTACTCACCAAAGGTGTGACACCAGATTATCAATAATCGATCGCGTTGTCCTTGATAAAACCGTTCCTGTCAATATTTCTGAAAGACAAAATACAATACATTACTTAATCTTTAATCAGTAAAATAATTGAGACAGCAGTCGAATTAATATTGTTATCAAGATTTAAAAAGTACGCAATCATCGTCGTACAAGTGGCGCTGATATTTCATCTCGCTTTAATAAACGATAAAACTACCTTAAACTGCTGTTCCGTATCAAAGTAAAAAAATTAATAAATAATTCGACGTATAAAAGACACAGTCTATCTTATCTGCTTCTGGCATCGAGAAATAATGAAACGGATATTATATGTGCCTTAATAACCAGGAGATAAAACCCGCTAATGCAAAGTTAAGAAAAACAATTAAGAATGTTTTACGCGTTACGTACGTAATGAAATATTAGCGCTAAAAATATTTAAATTAAAAGATTAATTCCAATGAATATTACGTTAGTATATTTTAACAGACGCAGAGAGAATTCGAGCGTCGAAAGAAAATTAGGGAGAGTCAACGCAAATATACGATGATTATAATAAGAATGATATTTTGCTTTGGAAAATACGCTCGGAAACAGATGTAGTAATGGACGTGACGAGTTATATTTGTATTTTGCGTTGACGTGCGATTGATTACAGCAATATTATGCATTTCGTGAAACATGTTTAATGATCGCGTAATGTTACGCGTCAACTATTCTTTCAGGAAAATATTCAGAAACTCTAAAAGTATTTAGAAATTACAAATTATTATTCTATTATATGAACATAATATTTTTCCTAGTTATTAAAAAATAACATCACAGAGAGTGATCGTTTATTCTTTAATTACTTATAATATAAAACATTTATATCGTTTTTGTTCGCGTTATCGCGACGATAATTTACTATTGTTTCACAAATAAAAGAGCAAGGCGAAGAATATCTTTTCAATGTGAGAAAAAATTAAGGTTGTAAATTAACAACAATTTGTTCTCACGATAAAACAGTTCGAGTACACTCGTCCCTCGATTTACGCGGAATATTCGTCTCACGCGTTTTCTTACGCGGTTGAGAACGTAAATGGACTCTGTCAGTGAAAAAAAATACGCAAGAGAAAACTCATACGTATACTGCAATGTATACACTAACAAGATTATGCTTCTCTTGCTTGCTCCTATTTGCTTTCAGTTCCGTTTTCCTAAATTGATGAATATCTACATACATTCGCGTGTACATATCAAGTCCTCCACGTGCATAGAAATTGAAAACTCTCGATTATGATGTTAAATTCGATTTTGTACGTCAATTAGAATTATCATAAAAATGAAGAGGCAACCGCGACGTCGAGACAAAGGGAGATGACGCGGTAAGGTGTCTCGTGCTTTCCGGGCACACGAATGAATTCATAAAGCGAATATAAGACAAAATGGCAGGGAGCCAGTCAATTACGGTCGGATTAGCACATGAGGGGATCCCTCTTCTCTTTTTCTCTCGCTCTCTCTCTCTCGCGCTCTCTCACACACTCTTTCTCTCCCTTTCCGCGTGCAGAATCCGCGTAGCCAGTGTCCCTTGCACGCTTCGCTACCTCGTGCCGCCACGGCCTTTGAAACGCTATATAAAGTGACAAAGCTGGGCTCATTGGCGGGCACGCTCCGGTATCCTCGTCATCGGCTTTAAACTCGTGCTTTCCGGCCGCGTCGCGCGACCCGAAAAGAAGCCAAACCGCCGGCTTTTGTCACAGGTGCTATCGGCGGGTACTATCGAGATCGGAGAAGTGGTGAGGCGATTACACGACACGATTTAAAGGACGCCGCTCGCTGTGCCGCGTGCTTCATTCCCGAGGATGTCCCGCTTCAAGACGCGCATTGCCGAGACATCGTTGAATTGACGTATCGACAGGTCCAATCGAATTGACACCGCCGCCGGTGGCACGCCGTATCTCGAGTTCCTTCACGACACCTCAGGTAAGTGGTAACTCGGTTTGCCATTTGCTGCATGCGAGATTAAAGCCGCATCTCGGGGTGTGCTCGAGGAACACGTGAGATGATTCGAACAATCAGCTCGGATGCTGAAGAGGCAGCGAGAGACGAACTAGGTCGGCGAGCGACCCCGTTCGTATGCACACATTAATATCGTCAATGCGTATCGCCGTTCAAATAACGTTTTGAAATATTGTTAATTAATCCCGCGATAAATTGTAGGAATAAATAAAGATTTTGCCGAATTATTGCAAACCGTTATTAGCAAGCCAGTTAATTAGCGAGCGCTAATTACGTTCTCAAGCAGGGAAAATAGTGAAATTCATTTCTATTTAAATCAGTTCAATGCATCTTTCTCTCAGACATTCTATACTTTAGAAAAGAAGAAACGAGGACTAATTGCGGTTAGAAAATGAGTTGTTTTAATTATTTGTGATTATTAAATAATAATTTAATATCATTGTGTATACGGTATGAAAATATTAGCACATAACTTAATAGACTTGTAATAATTATAATGAGATATCTTAACACATACACGTATACAAACTTATATCATATTGTTTAATGTCCGAGTATATAAAAATGAGACATAAAATATCATTTTTTTCACACCAAGCACAAACCATTTGTTTCTTTTTTCCTTTAAGTTCTACGAGATGTCGCGAAAGATAAAGATAATCGTATCGTTGGCGCGTAATTATACGCAATTACATGCTGTTGTAACCGACCAATTTTCAAACGAGATGATGATAAACACTTTTCGTGAAGAAACTGCAGTCGTTTGCTACAAAACGGAAAACTACTAAGTCCTGCGCGAACGTGCAAACGCGTATGTAAACTTGGCAAAAAAAAAACCGCAAAGCCGATCGAACGAGGACTCTCTGATATAAATAGGATACACGTGACATTATAGTAATTTTATTAGCTTGGTAACTGACTCCTGTACAGTTCCCCTGTGTCGTGTATGATGGTCGTTTAATACAAAGCTAATGGTGTGTCAAATTAGGAACAGCTGATCGCGTCGAATGAGCTACGATTATGCCGACTACCAGTAGGGTAAAAGACCATGTTACTAGCACTGTCCGCATTACTGTCAATCAAAATTTTAATGCTCTTTTTTTTAAATATAAAAACTTACATCTCATGTTGTTTTGTAAAATTTCTATAGAATTCTAAGAGTTGATGCAGTAAAAAAACTAACGATTGAAAGTGAACGTCAGCCCGCTAGTTAGAAACGGAACTTAAAGATTTCGAGAAACTCATTTTTCTCCCAATCTATGTTTAGTAGTAGATTAAATAGAAAGTAGCTACAAAGTTGACGGAGTACAGGAAAAAATTTGGATTCACGGTGCACTCGAAGAATTGGAATGCATATATTAAATATATATTAAAATATACAGTACATTGAAATCTGTATGCATATAAAATAATAAATAGAATTGTTCACCCTGTATTAAACATTAAATCTAATATTATATCCGCACCCAACATCTCTTATTGCTTCTCTATGCTTATTAACTTAAATGTTTATCAACAGAGCCCTAATATTTACTAATAAATAGAATTTTATTATAAACTTCGATTTTAAAAATAGTCGAAAAAATAGTTGAAAAATAGTCTAAAGTGAGTTTAAAATTACGTAAAAGACAGATAAGATAAGCAAGAACGCTTCCTTTTACAATTATCTAACTTTGTAGATACAACTGTGCGCACGTGAAAAAATACCAGCAACACAATACAACAAAGAGCAGCTGGTAATAATTTTCCTTGAAAATTCTCAAGAACTAATTATGTATGCATAGTTTTCTTATGTTTAACTTAGCATCTCCCTCCCTCAGTTTAATGATTTAGTGGTTGTATTGACAGTTTGCATGAAGGATAGAGAATTATAAGAATCTAAAGGTGCAACTAATAATTATAATTACAAAATAAGTATAAAGGTCTTTCTACAAAACTTTTTGAAATAGTTTGATGTAAATTTCAAGAGTTTCTCAAAATAAGCTTCAAATAAATGTTCTATTTCATCATTTATTTTGCGTTGCAAAATTTTCTACGCAATCAAAAATAAAATGTCTTGAATAATAGTGAGTAAAGAACGCAGACTTATACGCGATAAATAATCGACACAGCTAACAGACGATGCAAATGTATCATTAAAATAATAAGAATAATCAAACTAACATTTCTAACTAACAATATAAATTTAGTAAGAATTTCATAACTTTGACAACAAATAATAAATATAATTTTACTTATTACTAAGATACGAAAAAGTAAATCGTCTTTTTATAGAATAACAATGATAATTTTTTGTTTGACATATTGCAGAGAAAAAACAAAATGAAGCACTACGTCCTATTACTTTGCATCGTAGCGGTTCTTCAAGATTCCGAAGCGATACCTAAGGGATCCACGGATTATGAAGGTCTGTTATAATCGTCATACTATAAAATCATTGACACATTCAAATTAGATGCCGAAGTTAAGTGATTACCTCAAATATAAGTTCAAAATTTCGAAATTCTTCAATTATACTCACTCTCTCTCTCTCTCTCTCTCTCTCTCTCTCTCTCTCTCTCTCTCTCTCTCTCTCTCTCTCTTTCTCTCTCTAAAAATCAATCAGTGAATGCAAATCTGTAACTCTTCACTGTTTCCAGTGATAATTCACTGATTGACTTTCAGTGAGTGACAGTAATAAGCATATATCCGTAGCAATTTTGAAATACGTAATAAATATATAAAGAATTGTCAAAAATACGATACGCGTCGTTCATTGACAAATTTCTCTGGGCAGATGACTTTGATCGTTCTAATCAAATTTACGTAAATTTTGTCTTATCGTAAAACGTCGATAAAATCATCGTGGTGCAAAGTTTACCTCTTATCGATCACTATCGACACTTCATGCCTGAAATTTGTACGCATCGATATATTGTTTCGATACATAACAAGCTGTTTATGTTAGAGCACGATAGAGAAATTCACATATCTTTCCAAATGGCTTCTGTCAATCAAACTTGTTCATTGTTCATAACAGCGCCACTATTTGGAATGGTATTTTACACCCGCCCAAATGTGGTTTCAATTTTATTTGACCAAACTCCGTAACAAGATAGGCCGACAATCATTCTTCAATAGTGTACAATTCTTTTATACTTCTCACGTAATCTGTGTGTAAAACATTTACTCTTAGATCTCACTTGATAAGAACCTAAACCTAAGTCGAAACGTTGGTGAAAGCGTATTTAATAAATGTGGCCAGCTGAGGTCGATTGAAACTTGAAATTTTATTGCTATTATTTTGATTTCCAATTTTTATTCTGCAATGTTCTAGAAAATTAATATTAATAATGAGCTCACGGCACAAACGTGACAAACTTAATTTGCACATATGGTTTAATATCGTTAACTTCATACTTCATTGTATCTCTTCTATATCATAGATAAGCTATAGATATATCGTAGATAAAACTATAATTTAGAATAATTTAGATAGTAAAGGAATATTGCGAGACCTCTCATTAGCCTCTCAAACGTGCTTTCAAAATTTTCTGTAACTTCGGTTTTCAACTTAATTCCATCCTATCTGTCCTACCAATCAATTGTATTCCTTGGCAACGAAGCGAAATTCTGATCTCTCATCAGATATGTCCTTCTGGCTGAAGTCCGGCCAAGAGACCCTGCACAGGATCCTGGCGGAGCAGAAGAACGAGAATCGTGCCAAAAACGTAATCATCTTCATCGGGGACGGTATGGGCCTGTCCACCATTACGTCCGGTCGTATCTACATAGGCCAGCTCAATGGTCATAGCGGTGAAGAATACCAACTCGCGTTCGAGAAGTTCCCCAACGCCGCCCTCGCCAAGGTAGACATTCAAATTGCATCGATCGTGCCTTCAATCTCGACGGCGGTCTCGCGAGGCGTTACGATATTCGGAAATCCCGTCACGTTAAGCCGCTTAATTCCGCGCCTTTGATAAGGACGCCGCGTCTATCCTCGACGGGAAAATACGACAAACGCGATGCTCGCATTACAATTAATCCCCGTCGATCTTCCGTCGCTCGCCTAGCATGAAAATTCGTTGACCTGTGCCCCTCTATGACGTAATTAATTTATCATGCTACAGGAAATGATAACACGATAATGATTACGATAGTCAACATAATTTTATGCCTCGAAAATTTCGAATGACGTCCATAACGAATATACATGCCCCTAATAGCTTATTAACTTAAATTTAAAAAATAGCAAACAAATTAAAACATGCATTTCTTTAACTTAAGTATTTAATAAATATGAAACAGTGTAGATAATTTTAAATTTAAGATATTGTACTTTCATGAAATCTTTAGTTGAATGTAGAAAATGTAATGATTTAAATTAATTTACTTAATATAATACGCAGATTTACTTAAAATTTTATATTTTTATTTAAATAGACTAAATATTTACTTCAGTCAAAAAATTTAAGTAAATCTATTTACTTCGTTTAAAAAAATCTTTTGTCAGTGTACGAAACGTTATTATTTCCTCAGACCTTGTTATCGATATTACGTTACACGTTAAATACAAATGTTTCACAATTGTCAAACATTTATAGACCTACAATGTAGACAAGCAAGTACCGGATTCCGCGGGGACGGCAACCGCTATATTTTCTGGTGTAAAAACCAAATATAGACTTATCGGACTGGATGCCAGAGCCCAATATAACAAATGCGACGAGAAAATCAACGCATTAAGCAAACTCACGACGGTAGCCGACTGGGCGCAGCAATCCGGCATGGACACTGGTGAGAGCTTAGTCATAAAAGATTTCAAACCGCCTAATTTAGCGTTTTACATAAATAATTTCTCAAGATTATCTCATTCTATTCTGGCGCCACTAGTTTAGAATTAATTTTGAAGCTCTAGTAATTTTAGACAAGAGAGTTTGTACGATTGAACACTTCGTTTGAATTATAAGCAGTCATAGCCAAAAAGAAAACATATCGAGCTAAGAATTCAACCATTTGAAACTTTATTCGGCTAACTTTCAAATGCAGATCACAATCAAGTCAAAGTCACACGACACGGTCAAATTAAACCTTGACATAGATCTGCGCTTCAGATTTATAAGTGTCTCAAGCATTCTCGGAAAGTAGAAATCGATCAGAAGAAACATATAAAAATCTCTTAGGCATCGCCATTGTTGTCGGTCGGTTAAACCGTTGACCAAGAGAATTTTTCTACACGGTACAACATTGAGATGAGAAATCGATCAATTTTTATCGTCGATATATAATATGCTTACGCGATCGAGTTAATATTGCACGCGCGATCGCATTATGTACGGTGTGCTAAAAATGTGATTTTCATTTTTCAACTGAATTCAATAAATTTTCTTGTCAAGTAGATAGGTATAATTTATTCGCTGCATACGTAGCAATTTCGATCGCGATTGTTTGATAACACATACCCCGTATTTAATTACAATTTATATTAAATGAACAAATGCAAATTGAAATATCACTAATAATTCAAAGTTAATCTCACGAAAGCTATAATTTATGTATTTAACGCCAGCTTCTCCCTACCTGAAGGAAATTAATTTCTATTAATATTTATTTCTTTATATAACTACCAGGTTTTCAAACAAAAAAAAGTAAGAGCTCATTTTCGCCGAGAACGTGTAAAATTTAAATTGAGAAAACTAGAGTTCTCCAACACTTGGATTAGTAAGGATATTTTTAGAAGCGGCACTCGCGAATATGAGCCGTACCCGCATGACATACGAGCGATTATGAGTATCAATTCCGTAGAGAACTTGTGCCACGCGTAATCGGCTATTTCGTTAACATAAGTGTTGGTACTGAATGGACCTCGTTGGAGTCATACACAGTGAAAGTATACTCAATAAACGAGGAGGTCGTGAGCCGACCTTCTACCGTGTCGCGGACGATCGGTCAGCCATGACTGATTTCTACTTTGGCAAAATAATGAAAGCTTTTTACGCGGCTCGCCGATTAGTATTTAACTCATTTGTTTCCGGTTGTATCTAGACCTTCGTCAACGGTCACTTTTTACGTTGATTTGCTTACGTCGATTTACTCTGCATGAATAAATCATCGCACAGCGTACAACCGGAATAAACGAGAATACTTATGCGCGTCGAAATAGGGTATAAGGTATTTTTGCTAACTGCAACCTAATATCTAGTACGCATATTTTATGTTTGAGACGGTTTATGTCGTATGTGTTTAATAAATGTTATATATTATGACTGGAGGAAATCTTATAAGTCGCCGGAAGTAATTAAAATTTCAGAAGATTACTTGACCATGTCTAGCAAATTTTTATGTTTAAACTCACAACGTTTCGACCGTGGTTTGTGGTCCTATCTCAAGTGATAATTGTGACAATAATTCCGTATGGTAAATCAAAGGAGCAGATCTTAATTTCACGAACGTTCTTTTGGTTTACCATGCGGAATTATTGACACAATTATCACTCGCGAAGGACCACAAGCCACGGTCGAAACGTTGTGAGTTTAAACATAAAAATTTGTCAGACATGGCCAAGTAATCTTCCGAAGTTATTATCCATTATGTATCACGTTATTTAGGATTCTAGTTTACCGAAATTTCGATTCCGCGCGTTGTCTCATTGCTGTCCAGAAGATAGAATGAAACAAATTTCAGGGATAATTCGTGGACGATTAATTTACAGGATTTGTTACCACCACTCGCGTCACCCATGCCACCCCCGCGGGACTTTACGCGCACATTAATCATCGAGATTGGGAATGCGATACCGCAGTACCAAAAAACCAGCGATTTTGCGTTAAGGACATCGCGAGACAACTCGTTGAGGATGAACCAGCAAGTCAGTTTAAGGTATTCGATAAAGATCAATATAACTTCAAGTCTAGCGGATTAACAGCAAATAGAAATTGCGTGTAATAAATACGCAGTGAAACGCAATAATTAAAAGATTATCGTTAAAGAAAATGATTTTTCATTGTCGTGAATTAAAAATACTCATAAAGGAAAATATATAACACTTTTATCGAGCGTAACCTTCGTAACATTTTTTAGAGATCTGCGATATTACTCTCTAAATTTTTTGGGGTGGAATCTCGCTCTTTTGGACTGAAATTTCACTCGAAGAAATAATGAAAACACTGCCAGTCCGAATGGAGCGAAATTTCCCTTTTTGAAAGAGTGCCGTTATTCACTCTTTATTTGGATTGATTCTGCAACTCTGAAAAGAGTGCTAGGTGTTACTTTAAGCGATTATTGTTAGCAATACAAAATTCGTGGACGAGAGTTTCGCTATGACCATCGCATGTAGAGGCTGTAATCTAATATTCACAGCCAGTACTGAAAATCTATAATTTATGGCGACGTTCCTTACACGCCGGACTATCGTGATCTTATAATACTTATGAGCTGAGGCTTGTGAAGAGAGAAAGACAGAGAAAATTTAAGAAGACTTTCTTTCTCTGTCTCACCATTGTGAAAAGGGAGATTCACGCCTGTGTAGTACAGGCACGATTCTTTTCTTTTACGATGGTGTAAGACAGAAAAAGAAAGTCTTCTTAAATCCCCCCCTCTCTCTCTCTTCACAAGCTTCAGCTTATTCAATGGGACGCCCAGTCTATATTTACTATATTTATGGAATTAATTAACTCTATTGGAGTAGCTATTCACTCGAATAGAGCGAAGTAGTCAGCGACACCACGATTCGAGCGGAAATTATCCCCCCAAAATTTTAGAGATACATCTTGAAATAATTTAAACTGCAATTTGAGTCTAATATTAAAAATTCCTATCTTTCGAAAGGTCATCTTGGGCGGCGGAGCGCAACAAATGGGTTTGAAACTGGAAACAAGTGATTCCGGTTCTTGTGAACGGTCCGACGGCAGAAATTTAGTAAAGGAATGGCAGGCGAATCATCCCGAGGGAAAGGCCGTCACCAACATGCAGGACCTCATGTCCATCGATATAAGCAACACGTCGCACATTCTTGGCGTTTTCTCGCCTGGCCACATGCCCTACCACGCCGTAAAGACCGCCGAGACGCCCTCGCTAGCGAATATGACGACGCAGGCCATAAGAATGCTGAAGAAGAACAAGAATGGATTTCTGCTAATGGTCAGTGTAACTGTTCAAATGACTTTCGAGCACAAGGGTAATCGTTTCGCGTAGTCTCGTCGGTGCTGAATATAATCCCGTTATCAAACTGCTCCGGTTTGAATTTGAGCGGCATAATTAAAAAATATTTAGCGGCCCCTTAATGGTCTTGTAAGCAACTTTGCAACTTCGAAAGTCCTAACGACATACTTAATTTTGATCGCAAACAAAACTTCTCCAGCATATTGCATATTGTAGTAACAAAAGAAACCAAAATGGCCCCTTTTTGCAACTTTAATCGCAGATTTTTTAGGACGCGTTAGAAAAATTTAGTAAACGTAATAATTTTCAAAAATTCTAACGACCTTCGTTCTTGTGCACTTTTCTTTTGTTGAACAGTGTAAGCGTGAACGGCACTGAATATGTCTGCCGAACGTCAATCGGATCGCTACGCAGAGCGGGCATTATAGGATAATGCACTCGATGAATATTAAAATGAATATTAATGAAACGTAATCGAGACTACACGTCAAGGAATCCTGACGGGCGCACAATGATGCTATTCTTGTGCAAATTACGCGTGATGACCATTTTCGTGTAATGCGTTCTTAGCCATTTGTTCCTAGGCTTCATCTTCCCGGATGCATGTCAAGGTCGTGCTATTTGCGCGCATAATTCTACGCATAATTCGAGAGCGCCGCGACCTTTCTGTTCTGGTTTCCAAAGCTTCGCGCAGAGTAGCACAAAATTGGAATATCACCGGCGAGTCGATGGCCTTTCATTTTTCAACCAGTTTCCAATCTTCCAGGTCGAGAGCGGCAAAATCGATACGGCCCACCACGGCAATTGGGCGAAATTGGCACTGCGCGAGTTGTACGAACTCGAGGAAGCAGTTAAGGTGGCTCTACGGCTGTTAAATATCGAGGAAACGTTAATCATCGTCACGGCCGATCACTCGCATTCGTTCACGCTAAACGGATATCCCAACAGGGGCAACGACATCCTCGGTTTCGGCAGCAAGAACACTAGCTCGAGAGCTTACGAAACCCTCTCCTACGCCAACGGCCCAGGATTCTACTACCATCGAAGGAACGACAGCAACAACGTCAACGAGACCTGGAGAAGACTCGAGGACGACACGACTCGCGGCGAACCGTTCTACAGGCACTTTGCTGGCAAATACCTCAAGGACGAGTCTCACGGCGGAGAAGACGTCGGGGTCTATGCTTTGGGTGAGGAACACGATTTCCCGAATCGTTTTATGCTGCCGATACAATATTCACATTTTCAAATTTGAGAGTAAATTCGGACAGTCGAGTGTTAACTCAAAACTTGAGTGTCTTTTTTCCGTAAGGGTTCACTTATTTATTCCTGCGAATACTTTCAGACAACGATGAGCTAAATAACATCTCTTGCAGGCCCCTATTCGCACCTGTTCCGAGGTACTTTTGAGCAGAATTACATTGCACACGCCGTGGCGTATGCGGCGTGCCTTAAAGACTGGCCATCTCACTGTGACAGCGCTTACCATCGTTACTTTTACGAAGTCAATACGGCATCGCAAAACTCGAAGCAAAATTCAGCCGGACAAAACACGGTACCGTCTGCGATTATAATAACTTTCCTGTTTACGGCGATCTTTATACGACTGTGATAGTAAACGTCATTACATTTTCTTCTCGTATAGCCAAATAGATAGTGACGCGCCGCGAAAAGAATTCACTTTCAGAGTAACAAATAATATTTTTTCAAGTACAAAGAAATGTTTGTTTAAGAGATACCGTTCGCTTGTGCCTTTATCGAGGTTTATTCCAACTGCAAATCTTGATACGTAACATAACGCACTAAGATTTCTTTCGCGATCCGGATCTGCAACTTTTGTAACGGACAAGTTGTCCGTTACACCACAAATACTGTATACGATCTTTTTACTGTAATCTCTTTTTACCGTAATCTCTTTTTACCGTAATCTCTTCTTACGTAATCTCCAATTTCAATTGCTACATTTCTCATAGATGTAATTACATTTTGATAATGAATTATTATTTTACTTATTGTTTAGAGCTCGACGAATAATCGTGACTATAGATCGCGGGTTTTATATTAACGCGAGTAAATATTTAAAAAAACGATGATCTTTTTTGGGTTATTGCAGCAACTATGACGAATTTAATTTCAAGGAGAAACTTGGACGGCATTATCTGCATTTTAAACACAGGTTTACAGGATTTCGAAATGATGATAGGAAAGTGCTAACAGCCGTGTGTGTTGGTAATAGCGTCATGTTTCGAACAAAAGTAATATTCCCATTAAATAATGGCGAATAAAAGTCCGCCTAATACTTTTCGATGAGATTTTACGATAAGATTGTACAAAATATGTTGCTGTAATATAGAAAATCGTCATTCGAAATATTATATAAGAGAAATGGAGAATAGTTTTTTTATGTACTTTAACACGTTACTTATACAAAATTAATATAAACTTATGTACATATTAGCGCATTATATCACAGGATATTTTGTTACAAACTGATGAAACAATTTTTACCCCAGATGCCGATGTCATGCGATTATACGTAAATTATAATGTGATTATGGAATAAAGTTCCTCGTTATATTGTTTGTAAAGTTTATGTCATTATAATAATTACGTAAATAATACACGAGCGAGACATTAAATCATTTAATAGACTTTAAGTACAAATTTGACCCAATTCGGAATAAAGACTACAATGTAATAACGAAAAATGACATTACAATACACAGAAAATTTGACAACTTCGATTATTGCATTGCGTAATAATCTCTTCATGAATTTCACATACATTTTCACAGGTTTGGGAAGTAACTCGTTACTTGTAACGCAGTTACAGTTACTTTTTTTTAGTAACTCTAACTTAACTTCGTCAGTTTCTCTCCATTTGTAACTGTAACTTAACTCAGTTACATTAATAATTACTTTATATATTTTTTAAACTTCCACAGATCGCATTAGGCCTTGCATTTGCGCATAAACGCTTTTATCGACACTTTACAATTCAAACGCAGATTTGATTTTTTTATTTCCATAGCAAGAAAGCAACTGCAAAGTAACGATTCGTTACTTCTTGAGTAACTGTAACTGTAACGCGTTACTTTTCAGAATTGGTGACTTGTAACTGCAACTCGTTACATTTTTAGCAAAGAAAAACTTATAACTAGATACTTTTATAAAGTAACTTTCCCAACCCTGCATTTACACATAAAATAGAAATAGTATTAGAAATTGAAAGAGATATAAAAGCAAATGAAACATACTCTAGGAAAACGTTCGAGTGGAATTACATTTGAAATAAGCTCGAGAAGACTATCCTGCGCAAATGTGCCTACGATTTCCCTCTAACGATAGCGAGATAATAATTTTTATAGATAAGTGGCGCCGTATCGTCACTGACGAAATTCCTGTCAGGTTTGATCGAAGCGAACGGATTTCTCCGCGGCTCCAAAATCGCGTCCACGTCAGCGATCGACTTGATCCTGATCATCTCTCGAGGAATCTCTTGCTTCGTGTAAGACGTCACGCAAACCGGAACCTTGGTTTTACAGAATTCACGTATCGTCTCCGGCCACGTGTCTTTACCCTCGAAGCCAGTTTCCCGATAAAGGCCCGGGTTAAAGAGGCACACGAGATGCGGTTCCGTGAACTGTTTGGAACGACAGAAATCGTGATAGAATGTTCCGGGATGGAACGAAACGTTTACTCGTCGACCGGACGATTTGCAAGCCGAACACATCTTCACGGCGGTCAACAGGTCCAACGGCACCGTCGGCAAACTCAGTTCCGGGCCAATGAACATCAATTTCAGACGCTTTAAGTTCGGAAGGAGATGCAGAAAGAGCCTCTCCCAGACATGCAGGTTTATACACTCGAATTGAAACTCGGCGCCTATCACGTGGACCACGAAAGTATCGACGGCCTTCCAATTCGGGCAAGCAATTTGCATGGAGTACAAAGCCGTCAACGGAATGGTCGATATATGAGAGAGGCTGCAGTACGTGTAGCAATCCATATTGCAGTAATACGTCGAGCGAGCGTAAAGCTGCGCCATTAACAGATGAAAATTATCCGGCAGCTGAAACGGCGCTTTCTGGAAGGTATCCGGAATCTCGGGATCCACGTAGCCGGCTTTGTGCTGCACGAACAGCACCCGGCGAAACACCTGGAACTCGCGACACCACTCTTCGTGTCCGCCGTCGTGGTTCTCGCAGAACAGACCGATCCCGCACGCCGGGCAGCATTTCAGGGCCGTCGAGAAGCGACGACAGTCGCAGCAGACGCGGGGATAAAGAAGTATCTCCTTTTCCCAGAGCTGGAGCGGCCTGCGCAGGCGGCGCTGCACAATCTCGATCAATTTCAGCCGATAGACGCGGTAATCGTCCGCGCCGAGTTCCGACAGCGACGACAAGCCGCCTCCGGCCGTGCAGACCTCGGCGAGAACTTTGCACAGGTCGCGGTGCCTCGGCCAGTCTTGCTTCATGTGTCCGACGGTGCAGTAAGAAACCATGCCGCAAAATTCGCAGGTCTCCTCCGAACGTTCTATGCAGATCGGACATAGGTTCGACACGAAGACAAGGCGCGGCCAGAAGTTGAGCTCGACGGTGTCTTCCTCCTCCTCGTCGCTGCCGTCCGACGTGCGACGCTGCGTCGGGTGCACGAGTGGCAATTTCAAGCGCGAATAAACGTCGATCGCGGCTCCGGCGACGAAAAGATTCCCGCCGCTTTGTTCCGCCGCCTCCTTCTCGGCGGAATTCGTATCCGTCGTTACCTGATCCTCGCACGGTTTCCGAACGATTCTTTTCGGGTTCTTTCTTCCGCGACCCATCGTCGAGGCTGAAACGACGAAAGGAGATGAGTGCAACGAACGCGGGCTTTTATAACGGACAAATGGACGTTAACGTTTTTGTTTCCAACTTGAAGCAAGCGAAGCAATTGCGCTTCACGTTAAATACTTGAAATTGTACGAGATATGAAAAACACATATCAGCTCACGCGATTAAGAATAATTCCATTTGTCCGGGAGCAATTGCGATTACATAATGCACCGTTGTTGCGCGCACGTGTGTTTCATGCGCGAACACGATTGGTTACATAACCGCGTCCCGTCAAAGAACATGTCCACCATTATTTTAGAATATTACAACGCGTATCGTAATTAACAAACCGGGTGAGCCACAAACGCTAATAATTAAACCCGACCGCGACAGGTTCTACTTGCGTTTAATGACCCGTTCTACATCTATCGGAAGAGAGAGAACAATTATCTCCCAATTTAGCGCGCCGTATTCAACTATTACGTTACGCCGTCATCGGAATTCGAGAGATCCGTTCATTTGCAATTTCAAACGCCGTTACCCGTCCCCTCCCTCGCGCATATTAACAAAATTAACCGCGATTAAGATACGATAATTGGCGCGGCACGGATTATTAAAAACTCTAATACTTACCGCCACGGGATCTTCGCTCTTCTGAAACCGGCACGATTAAAATTTTTTTTTTTTAATCGTTACGCCCAACACGAAGAGCGTGTGCGCTAATGACGACAGCGCTGAGCGAGATCTCGAGATTTTCTCGGTGACGTGGAGACGCGATTTGACGCAACGGTTTGATTTTCCCTCGGCCGAGGCTCAGACGCCTTGACCGTTCAAGGCGTTGCGAGGTATCATCAGGGCTGCTAGTACGACGATGGGCACTATGCCTAGTCGCCCAGACACAAGGTATTTCAAGCACGGCGTACTGGCAATAAGGTACTCGAAGACGAATAGTCAAACGAGCAACGTTTGTCTGTCGAGAGAGAGAGAGAGAGAGAGAGAGAGAGAGAGAGAGAGAGAGAGAGAGAGAGAGAGAGAGAGAGAGAAAGGGAGCAGTGTATTTCGGAGCAACCGACGCGTCCGCTGATAAACGATAATAAAACTTGGACGTCCCAATTTGTGAGTAAGAACGCATTTAGTACATTTGTTGTGAATAATATGACTTCTGATGAAGAATTGCGAGCGTGTATGCATCTACGTGTGCGTGCACGCGCAAGCTTTACGACCGTGAGCTATTATTAACGTTACATATGATATTGTCGCCAATAGAAATTTATCCTACATCAACCTCGACATTCGCGAGGCGCACGTGGCACGGGAATAGTCGACTTGAAAGTAATTTAACAACGAATATTACGGTGAAAGTGAATGTGTGCAAGAAAAGGAAGTGTACGAAATTGTAATTGACAAGGGATAAGTTTAGTCGACCTTAACTGGGACTTGTTTAATAAACTAAAAATAGAAAATGCACGATGCGACGTTTTGACCTAAGGGTTTAGGTCCTTATCAAGCACACATTCTTAAAAATTAGTCGAGTTATTGCGATTGATACAAAAAAGACGAGCAGTGAGACGTCAAGATTTATAATCTTCGCGCAAAAAATGTTTTATATGCATATATTAAAAACACCCGAGAATAATGACTCATAATTTCCGTCATCTGCGATAATATAATAATCTATTTTTATCCGATGCAATTCGCGATACTACAGATATTATAAAACACCTTATTTCGCGAGTATCGATAAATGGGAAATATTTTTATTTCCCAAGTTTTCATTTTCCCCCCCCGATATTGCCAAATATTTCCCAATCCTTCCTTTTCCTCTTCATTTTAACATCGGTTAAATTATTTTTCAATATACTCTTTTATTTTTTTCTTATAGATATATGTTAAAAATATTTAAATGATCATTATAAAAACACAAAAAATTCGGAAAAATAAAAAATATTGCATTTCTATCCGTGTTAAAATGTCAATTAAAATATTTTTAATATGCCACAAAACTGTACACTTATTTGTTTCTTTAGAGTGTGTATAAAAATAAATAATATAAACAACATCAAATTTGGTTGACCGTATCTGGCAATTTTTATGTTTAAGCATCGCTACGTTTCGACCGTGGGTTTCGGTCCTTTTCAAGCGATCTGACAATACAAATTAAAGATTTACAAAGTATTACATAAACAAAGTAAATAACCAAGCCCGAGATATTAAGTTAACAGTCACAAGAATAATATAAAAGTAAAGAAATGTTTAAACAAACTTATAGGTGAAATATTTTTTAGTACACTACAAAATTGTATACTTATTTATTTCTTTATAAACCGTGCGTAATAGAGTGTGTATAAAAATAAATAATATAAAATTTAAAAATGCTTTAATGAACTTATAAGTAAAATATTTGTCTATTATTTTCAACATTTCTTTTATCTTCTTATCGCACGCGCGCGCGCACACGCGCACAAAACGTATGTATATTTATTTTTTAGTTGTCAATTCTTACATCTACCAACATAAGCATCTCTTTAGCCACATATAAAATTTAATGCGACTTTGAATTATGTATTTTATACCACGTAAGTTTCGCGTGTAGCATTTGCAGTCCGGATTTTAAATCGCTATAATTTCAGTAGACTTAAATTTCGGTACTGTAGACAAGGAGTGATATTTTAATTGACATTTTTACACGGATAGAAATGCAATACTTTTTACTTTTCCGAATTTTTTGTGTTTTTATAATGATCATTTAAATATTTTTAACGTATATGTATAATAAATCCTTGCACTCGAGAAACGGCACCACCTCTCAGGTTCGGTTTCTCCAACGATCGCTCATCCTTTGTCTCTGTCGAAAGGTCTGTGTCCATGATACTAGAACTTGGTCCAAGTTCTTGGAGCCAATTTTGTATCTTAAGGCCCGCGTCCACGATGCTAGAGCTTGGTCCAAGTTCCAGTTCAACTTGCAGCTATTCCATAAAAGCTGCAAGTTGATTGGCTACACATTTCTCGAAACTGGGGAGTCAATTCTGTATCTTAAGGCCTGCGTCCACGGCGCTAGAACTTTGTCGAAACTCCCCAGTGAGAAATGATTCGCCGATCGGCGTCGAAACGACGTCGAATCGACATCGACACCGTCGAATTGACGTCGATTCGACATCATTTCGATGTCGATCGACGAATCATTTCTCACTGGGTGCAGTCCCGAGAAATGCGTGGCCCCGCATAAAAAGCTCGCGTAAAAGCAGCTTTTATGGGATAGCTGCAAGGTGACCGGCCACACAATTCTCGAAACTGAAACTTGGGCCAAGTTCCAGCATCGTGGACACAGGCTTTAGGCCCGGTCTACAATGAGTTGTTAGTCGTTAGTCAGAAGTCGGAACTATATGTCGGTCCTTTTTCTTCCACCCAGAAAGGAAAAGGATCAACATACTAACGACTCATTGTAGACCGGGCCTTAACCATCCACTTTCGTGGGTTTTCTCGCAGAAACGTTGGGAGAAACCGGGCCTCGGTGCACTAGCGCGAATCACGCGTCTCGATATCCCGCGAGGCGTCAAAGATCATCATTGCTCCCGTCCATTCGATCGTACCGTTCGTTATTCATCGCGCGCGCCTCTCCAGTGCGATCCTGCCGCCTTTAATCCATTCAATCAATCTAATTAAATTTAACAATCGCCTTACCTTTTACCCTGCGACGCATCCATGGCGCCCCTTCGCCCGGCAACCGAGTCGGCGAGCCGCCGTCGCCGTTCGTCCCGGTTATCCGCGCTGATCCGGCCGCGTCCTCCCCGCTTAGCTGACCACCCGACATCCGCCGCGTTTCGGCAAAGCGACGCGATTTCTACGCGAAAACACCGTAAAAGCGTCGCGAAAAGCCGCGAGGGAAACGCGCGCGCACGAAACCGCTCGGACGGGCTCGGTTCGAGAATCGCAGGCAACCCACCGTTCGAGAATCGCAAGCGGCGCGCCGCTCGATATATCGAACTCGACTCGGCGTGCACCGCGCGCAGACGGTGCAGATACGCGGGGTGCGCTTCGCGGTGTGGTTCTCGCGGTGGATCCGGAGCCGCTCGCCGGGATCCCTCGGCGCCGGGATCTCACGTTTCTCCAGGGAATCGTCCCCGAGCATCTCGCACGCGGTGGCCGCGCTTATGACCGGCCGATGGACCAGCGCGCGAGGGAGAGTCGTCGCTCGTTCGAGGTACGTGGCGCTTTTCGAGGTTAGGACGGCCGGGCTGTCACGGGCGGCCGCGCCGCGCGACGGCGGATCCGCTCTCGCGTATCTCGGAGACACGTCCCCGCGAATCGTTTCCGCGGGCGCGACGGGGAGGCCGCGATCGTGCGTTCATCTCGCGCGATCCCCGGGGGCTTCGCCGCGCGGAGGTTACGCGCGTTTCCGGAGCGGAGCCCGTGACGTTTAGGTTCGTCGAGATTCGCCGAGGGTAAGCTGAGTTGTCGCCCAGGTTTCGTTTGGAATATTCGAAATTGCCGTGGAAACTCTTCCCCGGGGAAACTGAGAGGCTCGAGCCGCGAGTCCCCGTGTTTCGCTGGGCGAAAGTATCGTGGACAATATCGTGTTCAATTGTTTTTTTATTTCAGGTGAAATGTGGTCCGCTGGGAGAAACAATTAATTAAATGTACTCCGCTGGCGATCCAGCGTGTCCCGCAAGATAAGATCGCGACGACTGGCCGAAAACTGGCGGTTTCTTGTTTTCGCCAATTTCCCCTCGTTTGCAGGCGATTTGTTTACGCGAGACGTTTTTGCGATACGCGACCTGTCATTATTATCTGTTTTCCTCGTGGTGCGCGATAAGAGACATTTCGTGCTTTGGAAAAACACTATTTATTGAAACGGGCAATGTTTCGTAATACGAGTGCAATTTTTACGTGCTGCTCGCGCGAACGAGATTGCCGGATTTGTCGAAAAGCAAAAGTTTCGTCCCAAACTGCCCGAGCGTAAAGATAATGTTGTGTGCACACGCGAAACCTTGGTGTGCAATATCTCGCGCGGTAAAAGGTCACTGCGTATCTATATAAAATTACTCATTTAATTTTACATCCTTTCTGAGTTGTTTCCTGTCCTTTATATCTTTAAAAGATATAATTTTATATCATTGACAGAAAACTTATCAAGGTCCGTAATAAATAGAGTATTCTATCAGTAAACGAGCTAAATTTGGAGCCCCGTTATTTGCCGTTTACTTATCAATTGGCGAAAACCATTCACAGTATTTATTGTACCGTAATTTAGAAATTATCTTCAACAAATTTGGCAATTATTTGTAAAATCTTACGGCGACTTAACAATTATTTATAAAAACCTGTATTAGAAAGTAATTCAACTCATACACGTCTTCAGAGTTGGAAAATTACTTTATAAAAGTATCTAATTACATTTACAGTTTTTTTCGCTAAAAATGTAACTAGTTACAGTTACAAGTTAAGTCAAAAAGTAACGAATCGTTACTTTGCAGTTACTTTCTTGCGATGAAAATAAAAATATGAAATCTGCATTTGAATTGTTAAGTGCCGAGAAAGGCGTTTATACATTTATGTAGTGCAAGGCCTAATGCAATCTGTGGAGGTTTAAAATATAAAGCAACTATTAATGCAGCTATTAAATTAGTTACTAGTTATCGAAAAGAGAGAAACTAACGGAGTTAAGTTAGAGTTACCAAAAACAGTAACTGGAACTGTAACGTCGTTGCAAGTAACGAATTACTTCTCAACTCTGCATATCTTCACTACGGTCGTTTACACAGAAATGTGTTATAAGCGTAGAATTAGAGCGGTTGCGGTAATAAGATTAAATCGCCGAATGCGATGTGCGAGGCTGCACGACCGAGTGGAACGAAAAGAAGAAAGGAGAATCAGGGGCTTGCAAGACCAACTAAATGGCGGGCCTAAATTAGACTCGGCTCTAAAAACAGATTAGAACAGACGTGACGAAACGCGTCTGTCGTGGCTCCGGTTGTATGAGCAAGTCGTCACCGACCTTAGATAATAGACTATCGCAAGGAGCAACGCATCTTTTGCACATTCCGATTATTCACGCGAGATGATCGCGTCATCGTGCGGATCTGCCATTTCGCCCACGTATTAATCCGCGTTAACGAAATTCCAATAATCTCCTTATCAATATTTGTCCTCGTACAAGTCTTAGTAAATTTTTACAAAGTCAAGCTGCAAAAATACATTGAGGAGCGATACGTGTACGTGTCGTAATATTATCGCGAGAAATAAATCTCAAGTGCGTTTGTTTTTATCAACGAAGCATGAATTACCTTCCATTCCTTGAATCTCGATAACGTTTCGCTTGAGAAATTAAGCGCGCACCCGTGAATAATTGAAGAATAGAAACCTCGCCGGCGGTTCTTCGGCTGCTCTAACGATTCGTTTTCCGTCGCCAGTATTCGCCGGTGATCCGCAAAAGGAAAGCTGACGAGGATGAGCCATGCGAAGGTACGAAAGGACCGTTATGGGCACAGTGAGCTCCGTCGTAGGCAATTAAGGGAGAGCAACTTGCCGGCGAGTAAAATGGTGGGACTGGGCAGCGACGAGCTATTCATTTCGGGCGTCGCCGATATCAACAATATGGAATTGGAGATCAACTCCGAGGACGAGAGCGATGAGATCGGGAGGGACGATATACGCCGGCTGATACCGTCGCCGGTCAACAGCGAGAGCGTCGTGTTTAACGGCGGGAAAAGGGATGGTCAGAGAAACGGGGTAGAAGATGCGGACGACGAGAGCGTTTGGTCCATATCCATCCAGATGTTCATACCCTTCTTACTTGCCGGCTTCGGCATGGTCGCAGCTAGTTTGCTGCTAGACCTGGTGCAGGTATGCAAAACGACTTCGACGTCGTGTTCTTGAGGAATTCCGAAATGGGAAATAAATGAAACGCAAGCAACTTGCTATTCTGCTAAGGCCCGGTTTTACCAACGTTGTTTAACTTTAAGCTAAGCTTAATTCGTTCTTTGTCTCTTCAACTATTACTTTAGAAAGAGACACACGTGAATTAAACTAGAATTAAAGTTGAGCGACGTTTGGTAAAACCGGGCCGAGAAGATTTTTTGGGACATTCCTCTGGAGAAACAGTCGTGAATTTACACACCGCTGTTCTGGTGCGAAGATAATAAATTTGATGGAACGAAACGTTGAATTTCAGCATTGGCCGGTGTATCAAGTGGTATCCGAGGTATACATATTAGTTCCTGCGCTACTAGGTCTGAAGGGAAATCTGGAGATGACGTTGGCTTCCAGATTGTCGACCCAGGCTAATCTAGGTCAAATGGACACGAAGAAGCAACAGTGGACACTGATTGTCGGGAACTTAGCCCTGATCCAGTGCCAGGCTATGGTGGTGGGTTTGCTGGCGTCCTTGGCGGCCGTGGCCCTCGGCTGGATCCCGGAAGCTCACTTCGATATTCATCATGGACTCCTGTTGTGCGCCAGTGCCTTGGTCACCGCTTCTGTAGCAAGTTTCCTGCTGGGCCTCGTGATGGTCGCGGTCATACTATTGTCACGACGGATGAACATCAACCCTGACAATGTCGCCACCCCGATCGCGGCCTCCTTAGGGGATCTAACGACCTTAGCTCTTCTGTCTTGGATCGCTTCTTTATTGTATAACGCAATAGGTACGAATAATCGATCGCTTTATCGTTTCGCGCTTATTATATTCGTGTATCGGACATGAATGTATTTTCAGGCTATGCTCCATGGGTAGCGCCAACATTGATAGCATTTTGTGTATTTGCAACTCCCGTTTGGGGCTACATAGCAGCTAGAAATCCATTTACTAAAGAAGTATTGGATTACGGCTGGACGCCTGTGATATCAGCGATGTTAATTAGCAGGTGAATACTTTCCGTTGCACGCTTGATAAAAATTTTACACGAGGCGAGCACTCGTGTCAACGAATAAGATTGATTTCAGTCTCGGCGGACTGATCTTGGACTACACTATATCGAGCTACAAAGGCATAGCGGTTTTTCAATTAGTAATTAATGGCGTTGGGGGAAACTTGGTCGCTGTCCAGGCCAGTAGAATATCGACGTCCCTACATAAAGATTATCAGACGGGTGTTCAAGGGGCTCTCAACGTCTGCATTAGTCCATTCCATGCGTTCTTTGCTAAGGGTGAGTTGGCTACGAATGCTTTTGCGCAAGATATCGCGCCGTCATGAATTTAACAAACCACTTTCGATACAGGAGGACACGCGAGAACAGCTAGAGTATTGCTGATGATGGTGATACCAGGGCACTTAATCTTTAGTTATACCATTAGTTACCTTCAGGCGGGACATACCTCGTTCACGCCTATATTTATTATGATATATTTGATCGCTGCAATGTTGCAGGTGCGTCTTATGTTAATTTGTATAAAAAATGATGCAACCTGTTTCTCTCAACGGTTGAAATTTAAAGGGAAATATCGATTGTTTGATAACTTTTTAGGTAATTCTGTTGTTATATATTGCGCAATTGATGGTTGTTTGGATGTGGACGAGGGGTATGGATCCAGACAGTTCCGCGATACCATACTTGACAGCGGTGGGCGATCTTATAGGAACTGCACTTCTCGGAATTGCCTTCCATATCCTTTATGCCATAGGCGACGGCGACTCTGACGTAGGAGATTGATCGGTAAAGTTTGTACAATGCTTTGAATCCTTTATAATGTTGCAGGTCATAGATTTTGGTATCCCTTTTCGAAAGACCACAATGAGAAATCTCATTTGAATTCGCGACACCGATTGTGATTTGACGATTGCGTCATCGGTGATTATCACTTTCGTTGCGGTGAGTTTTTTCTTCGAAACGAAGCTCCGTTCGACATCTCTTTGTATGAAAGGGTATGTTAAGAGTACAAATTAAATTAAGCATATATCTGTTAGTATATGCTGGACACAAAAAAAAGAAAAGTACAGTATTTGCCAATATTAATTCCGTTACATCGATAATTAAATCATCATGTAATTATGGAGATGGAAATTATAATTAATTTCAATCGCGACTATGCCAATAAATACGGGCCAGTAAATAAGTATACATTTTATGTTATGCTTTGACCAAAAGTATATTGCCATCATGCGAGATATTTTCATAAGCTTCGTCATATTAATCGTAAGATGCCTACATAAATTTAGTTCAACTATATACGAATATAAAACGTGCAGTGGGCGTATGTTATACATATATTTACATCACAACGTTGATCAATTGAATAGTAAATATAAATTTAAATATTTTTTTATATAATTACCTATAAGAAACTCTTTGTACAGGACGATTCTCAATTATGGCGTTAAGACGGAAGATGAATACTCTTTCCTCTTCTTCTTTCTCTCCTTTCTCTGAGTATTTTCTTTATTTTATTATAGCTCGAAAAATTATATGTATTATACATATATAAAGCCTAAGCAGCCTGTATATGATGGTTCTGTTTTTTCATAGTTTTGCCATCTAAAGCATTTAAACTTATAATTAAAAATCTCTATACATATGTACATAGATACAATTACATTATTTTATTTCGAAAAAATTAAAATATTTGTGCAATAATTATGTAAGGTTATCTCTTTTGCCAAAATAGTTAAATGACAAATTAGGCGAGAATATGTGAAGAATTGAGATTCTCGAAAAATCATCAGAGCGGGTATATCAAAAGGCAAGATTTAATTGACTTTACCTGGCCAATGTTTAATATAAAAATATACGTAATGCGACGTTTCGACCTAAGGTTTTAGGTCCTTCTCAAGCAAATCTGAAAGAACATCCGATAATCGGGATTACAAATGTAATTAACGAATGCAGACCAAATTACAAAATAATCTCAATGTGTATAATACAATAGTAAAAAGTGTAAAAGAAACGAGATTGAAATTAACAAATAAAATAAAAAATATGGATTGTCGGAGCGGATAAAATAATATAAAAGATTGAAAGTAAATCCAAGACCGGCGTCGAACGGAGTGCACAGAAAAAAAAATATGTTTTCTAATAACTCTGATAATCTTTCGGACATTGAAAGAGTCTTATTCTTGATTGACGTCTTACGAAATTATCTTGGGAAAAGAGGTATATTCATCTAAGCACGGACAACATTTCGTATTTCTCGGAAAGATATACGAAAGAAAGAGTGGGCGGTACAGTATTTTATGTTAGAAACATAAATGTACATACACACACATACACGTTGATTAGACACACCGGGCATATTTAACGAGAGGCATCCATATATGAATCACGAGACACGGTAGTGTCTCGCGCCAAGTGTAAGCGTAGCTAGTACACGCGTGCGAGATATAATATACACGATAGTCGTATGTGTGTCACAACGAAGGGAGTGAGACATCAGTGTAAATGAGTTCTTTCATCATAGTATTATATTAAATATCTTTATTCTTAAATCGAACGAAGACAGTTTGCTTACTTAGCTTAGCGACGATACCGGGAATATAATATATGACACATTTTGCGATAAATTATTACAATGTTGCGCCGGCATATATTATTGAGGTGACTCCCGTGAAAAGTTATCGCGAGGAAGATAAAGTGCTGAAACTATGTTAACATTTTCCAGTGCCTAAAACATGTGCAATGTTCGGAAGTGCGAGGTAATGACGTTGTCATAAAAGATGACTTATACATGTATATATATGTTATATAAATATGTATATGTACATACGATATACATGTATAGAAATAACACAAATTCTAGCACAACGATTTGTTATGTTTATACGAGAGAATAAAGTCTCGATGAATAACTGCCGCATTGTATTATTAGAGGAAAGTCCTCTATTATGAGATTGGTTTCTAAAATGAGATAGCAGGTTTTCAATCACAAATCTTTATTCGCAACGACTGCAGAATCTAACGATGAATTTTCCACTAAACAGATTTCGCTCCAAGAGCAATAAATTCATGGTGGAATCAACAGATAATCGGCCATTAATTTAACAGAAACCCCGCTATCTCACCAAAATGAACGGAACAGTAAAAACTCGTTTAGTCCAACTAGTGCACTGATCCCTAAGATATTGCCTTATGCTTTCTTCGGACTAAACCAGTTTTTACTGTTAAAGAGAAATTTTGATTCTAAATTGTGAGAACCGAGTTCCGTTCATTTTGTGGCTCACATTGGCACTCTCTCCTTTCTACACATTTTCTTTTTAGGAGCCTTCACAACACTTTGGTATTATTTTATAGATATTTTTACCAGAAAAATTAATACAACAAGTAAACAAAAGAGGCCAATTTTTACGAGCATGAAGGTTGACAATGTAATATATATTTTTGTAAGATTCAAAGATGTTACAATTGAAATATAAGATAGCGAACGCGTTTCGGCACACAGTGCTTCCATCAGCGCAAAATTAAAATTAAAATTAAATAGTTAATTCGTCTAGTACATAATTGTCAATAAATAATACAATGTAGATCAGTTGAAGCAGACAGGATTAGTCAAATGTTAAAAACGTTGCTGAGACAAATGGGCGCAACGGTTGTGGTCAATGCTTTATGGAGACAACTCCAAGTTCTATACCACGTTGGATGGCCTATTTGGAACCTCCTATAGTTGATTCAATTTGGTAAAAAAAAAAAAAAAATAATGTTTCAACTCTGGGAAAGAAAGACAGCAATTTTTTATAGGTATTTATAGAAGTTCTTTTCCGCTGGGGGGAGGCTCGAGGGAAACCCTCGCGGGGCTCCACGCGGGCTAATGCGTTTCCGATTCACGCGCGAGGGTGGTACACGTGCACCGAGCGCGCGCGCGGCGCGAGGAGGACCCGCGTGTCTTCCCGGCCGCGCTCGTTTAAAGCCCCGTCGCACATCCTCCTCCTCGCTCGTTCTCGCCCGCGACCACCTACACCGCCGTCGCAATCGGCTGTGTGCGTGCGTACGCGCGCCGCGCGGCCCATTCATCCACACGACGCACGCACACACGCGCGACTCGCGCCGGTCAAGCCCGTCGACGGCGACGACTCGCGCGCGCGGTCAGGCCCGACGACGGCGACGACGACTGTGAATGAAATAGTTGGATCTGTCAGTGCCAACTATCGCGCCGTTCCGCGGTGCACGCGGCGCGCACCTCTTAGAACTTGTCCGCCGTCGCGCGCGTAAGGGGGTAAGCGTAGTGGCCGCGAAAGGAGCGCGATTACTCCGACCCGAAGGTCGCGCACCCGTTCAGGGCTCTCGGAGGCCGGCTCTGCTCCCGCGGGTGAGTTCGATTCCCGACGGCGCGTACGCGCGGGGTGGCACGGCCCGCGGAAAATAGGAGAGGAAAAGGTGAAATCGCGAGCGCGCCGCCGGAGGCCGAGAGCAGCGTTTATAAATTGCAGTACAAAAGCTGCGAGCCGGAGCTGTGCTCCGGTCGGGTGCCGCGGTAAAAACGAGCGGGAGGACCTCGGCGATCTTCCCTCCCTGCCCCCCTCCCTCGTCGCGAGGCGCTCGGACGCGCGCGCTCGTTTTATTTTCAATTCAGAAAGGGGTCACGAAGATGCGCGGCTGGACAGACGTTACCTTTTAATTCGACCCTGAGCTACTTTTATAATCGCTGAATTGTCGCCGACGGGGGTTACTATTCCTCAACTCTCGGAAATTAAGTCAGTTTCAGCGACACCCTCCGCCGGGACCTCCGAGAGATTCTCCTTTCCTCTTTCTCTTTTTTTCTCTATTTCTCCAATAGCTTTTCGCGGACCGTCGTCCTCCTGGAAAAGTTTCCGCCGAGCGATAGCGTCGGGAAACGACCGATAACGGGTGTGAAATAACCGACGCGCGTGATAACGGTTTCAGCGAGAGACGGTATTATAAAATATAAATCGCGGGTGATCGATGCCGGCGATCGAAGAGCCCGCGAACTTTGGTCGCCCGGGCTTCCCCGCCGCTCGTCCGCGCCGGATTCAGTTGATAGCGGGTTCCGAACGGTAATTCGTACGTCCCGTTGGTCCCGCACCCGCCCCGCGAGGAGGAGGACTCCCTTTCCGAAATTGGTCGCGCGCGAGGAGGCGCGAGGGTCGGCCGATCTGTCTCGTTAAGACAAATAGAGAGTAGTAAGGCGAAAGCTGGTCCGGTGACTCGACGTCCCACCCTGGCATGGACCGTCGCGCGGAGATGGAATGAACGCCCTCGCGTGCGCGATCGCCGGGATGCGGAGCGGCACCGCGGGATCATCCTCGGCCAGGACGACGACGAGCGAGCGCGTCGTCACCCGGCGCAGCTGACCAACGTGTAAGTACGACGGAGGTGAATCGCCACCAGCCACCAGGGTCCTTGCGTCGCGGAAATCTTGCGCAAGATCCGCCGTGTCCGGCGGCGAAAATAATATAATCGCGGCGAGCGAGACGGCCGCGGTGGGATAAGATACACCGGGAGAGACGAGGTATCAAAGCGTATGTTAAGTTATTGCCCGTCATGGTCGAACTTAAACACGTGGAGTAATTTATCAATCTGCGAATATGTTACGGAAGCGCTTAGGCGCTCGCGTCGCCCGGAGAGCGGTTTGCGGTCCTCGGTCGGCGGAAAAGTGTCGCGATGTGAGACGCGAAAACGGGGCCTGGAAATCCGGGAAAGCGTCTTCTCCGCGCCACGTATCGGATGCGCGTCAATTTAGGTTCCCTCTTTTAACGCGCGATTTCATGAAAAAAGAAATAACGAAAAGTTACGAATGCAAAATCGCGCGCACGAATGTGCGGCATTCGAAGCCACGGAGAAGTGTTACAGCATGGACCATTGTAAGATGTAAACGACACTTACTGCAGCAGAAAAACGACGGAGAAAGTTTCTCTCAGAATTTACCCTGAAAGTCATGGTAGTCGTGGGACAAGGTGGAATTTTGAAGAATTTTGTCAGAGTTTTTGGGAATTTTACTATACATCTAGTACATTTTGTTAAAATTTCAAAAGGCTCTTAAAATTCTTCGAAACACCGTGTTGTCCCACGACAATTACTAAAATTTACTAAAATTTCAAAAAGCTTATAAAATTCTTCGAAATACCGTGTTGCCTTACGACATTTAGTAAAATTTACTAAACTGTATAGTAAAATTTCAAAAATTCTCACAAAATTTACCGAAATGCCATGTTGTCTCACGGCTACCATAATTTTCAAGGTAAAATTCTGAGAGAAAAGTCTCTCCCTGCAACGCTGGGCAGGAGATAAAATTGGTGCGAAACATAGGGAAGCGTCGTAAAAGTCATTGGCTTTTACTACTGAATAAATAAAACGCTAAGGTGAAATTAAAAAGTTCACGACAGCCGTGCAAAACGACACACTTAAAACTGATCAAGATATCTCAGACCTTCAATATGTTCGGACAATTATGTCAAATATACATACAATAAAATTAAAAAGAAAAGTCCCATTGACGCGTTCTCCGCGCCGTGTTTTCATACGGAATAGTCGCAGGGGCGCGGAAAAGTGAGAATTTAACTTCTTAGCACGGTGTTGAGTGACAATGAGAAGCGTGACTGAGAGAGACCAGCGTGTAAAAATACCGCGTCGACGTCTCCGGGGGTACCGGCAGCGCCGAATCGCTCGCGTGTGGTCCACCGCGCGGAGGAGAGCTCCTCTCAAGTTGCACGCGATAACGCTTTGTGTAAACCGCTCGCGAGTTCCGTGCAAACAGGTGCCGGTGGGCGCGCAGATCTGTTTAATCTGTTATCGCGCTAGCCGCCACGATCGCGATATGTTCTCGAGAGTCCCACCGGGAGACAGCGAGTGAATCGGTTAGAACGGATACGTGTGACAAAATCGTACATACGAGAAAAACGAGGAGATATTTTATAAAACGTACTATGAATTTTTTCCAGGTCTATGCCACCTTGCCCTGAGGAAGGCAAATAAGTTTTCATTTTTAAAAACTTCTTGAACCTTTCGGTTTTATGCTCGAGCAAGGATCCATTGTTAACTCAATTTCGGCCAAGGTGTCACGTGTTCCTTTTCTGTTCTCGCTGGTTCAATTGGAGAACGGTAGGCGGCTTCCATTAATTAGCGACGCGTTTGCCAATGTTTTATCTTGAGCGTCAGGATTTTTAAGTGAACAATTTATATCTTCCGATTATCTCTCTTCACTTGCTCTACCTTGCGCGGCGGTTTTCCGTTTCGTTCTCCGATCTCTGATTATTTGTGTACCCGACTGTAGCGCACCGCAGCCGTTTATATGGTATAAGGGTCTGTAATTGAAGAAGCAAGTGTAAGGTAGCGCTTGCGTAATGCTCCCTCGGCGATGCTCTTATTGTTGTCCGCCAACGTGTTTACGATACGTGGGTGGTGCACGGAGAAACAATAAAAGATAAATAAAACAGTAGGCGTACGAGAAAGAGTCGTCGGTTTCGCCGAATTATCAGACGTGCGGTAGGAAATCTCGCGAGTTAGCGGCGTAAAATTTTCAATTCTCCGAAATTATCCGCGCCCACGCCTTTAAGCACAGCCATCTTTTCGCAGATTGCAGAAATCCACCGGTTCACGTAGCGTCCCTCTCGATAGATCGTTTACGGTCACCGTGATTTTCTGACCGAACTCAAATTGCGCTACGTAATTATATGGTATCCTCTTTTTCGCTTTAATACATTCCGATCAAGAAATCGCTCTAACAATTTCGAATTACCTCTTGAGTTAAGCATAACTTATCACATCAACGACGTGTTATTTCATTGCGTTCTACGAGAGATAAATGCAACTAATTGGGACAGAATACAAAGCGGTAGATTCGGTCTAACGATGAGTCACGAAATTGGACGTGTGACTAATTATTGGGGGGTGGGTAATACGCTCGTAAGTAATTGACTCCTCGCGTGACGGGTCTTAATTGAAAAAACATACGCGATTTATCGGCACTTGAGAACAGCCGCGGGCTCAGTGAGTTAGTGTGTCAATTATACCATGCAAGTCTGCCACAAAGACTACACTAACGATTGTCCCGGCATTTAAATCATCGCCGTCGCTTATTCAGACCGCACGCTCAAATATTACAGCACATTTTTCCAAAGCTACATCCCAGTGAGAAATGACTCGTCGAATCGACATCGACAGTCAAATTGACGTCGATTCAACATCAACTTCAAAGTATCTAGTTACAGTTACAGTTTTCTCGCTAAAAATATAACGCGTTACAGTTACAAGTTACCAATTCTGAAAAGTAACGCGTTACGGTTGCAGTTACTCAAAAAGTAACGAATCGTTACATTGCAGTTACTTCCTTGCGATGAAAATAAAAATATGAAATCTGCATTTGAATTGTAAAAGGTCGATAAAGGCTTTTATGCGCAAATGCAAGGCCTGATACAATCTGTGGAGGTTTAAAATATATATAAAGTAACTATTAATGTAA